AAACTCCAGTGCCTTAAAATTTTGTATCTAATTCCATGACCCACTGATTTCTCTGAGTAGTGGCTACAGACAGTCCATGCACAAAGGTGTTGAGAATGTCTCTTACGTGTTCAGTAGCCTATACAATCTAGGGGTGAAAAGAGCCATAAATAGAAATTGGTCTTTATCCGTAGTTTTCAACATGGTTATATGTTGGAATTCATTGCACTGAAACTGACAATACTGCTTTTTCTTCATGACTATTTTAGCCATGAAAGCATGCTGTTGTGGAAAGAGACCAATGGATAATGATCACAATAAACTATTTTATTTATGTCCTTATCTGTAGGATCAGAAGAGGTTTTGTCCTGGAGACAATATGCATAACTTCTAGGTAAATAATCTCTTTTCCTTGTATAGTTTTACGCTTCACTAGTTACTCACCTGCTACTTAGCTGTAGAACACTCTTTGTTCAAAAAGAATCAGAGAAAGCTGCGGACTGTTGTGCGACTTGCAGTGACTGGACCCAGAAAAGAGTCTGCAGCTGCAAGAGTCTTATTGGTTTATGTGCCTTATTAGCTAGGAGTAGAGTTCACAATGAAGGCTGCTGATGGGACAGCTCTTTAGTATGGAGGCTGAGAATAAAGATCTGGGCCAGGCTTGTCTTAAGTATCTTGGCTGACAAAAATGCACTTATGTTTTAGTTCATACACATATAGAATGGAGATAGTTCTTTTGGATGTGGGTGTAATTTGGAAAAATAAAGATAACAGTTGAGAATTTACCCTAGCCATCAAAATAGTAAGTTGAAGCATTATCAGAAAGCAAATATACTTCAAAGTATTTCATTCAATTTATCTATGAAAGTAATCAGTGAGCTACTGAAGTACCTGTGCTAAATGATTTGTTTGTTTATTTGCAAGAAGAAAGCTGTACTCCTATGGTTTTGAATAGTAACGTAACTATTGAAGCCAGGGTACAATGGATGCTATCAGAAAAGCCCCATATGGGTGCACTTTAGATCTTTTGAATACCACAAAAGTTTAGTGACCTAGAAATGAATCAATAAAAAGCCATCCTCTATGTGACAAATTGAAGAACTGAGGGATTCTTACAGATGCATTGACTTTAACAATTCAAGATACACTGTTTGTAAAGGCTTTCTGAGACACATTTAATCCTTAGAGTACTGTAGCAGACTATGATGTGTTTTATATTTAGATCACTCTCCAGTAGTTCATTTCCTATTTTTACTGTAAGTTTACTGTTATGAAAATCAATGTGAGAAGACTAAAGGAAAGGCTAATGCTAATATGATGTGTCCTTACACTGAATGTAAATGTTTTTCATTTGCTAAATTGACAATTCCTTATTGTTTTGCAAAATCTGTTTTGGAAGGGTATGGCAGTGTAAGAGCCTCTTTAGTCCTGTTATATTACAAATAAGTCTATTACTCAACAAAATGAATTATAATCTTGGATAGGTCAGTAAAAGGGTTTATATCCCTGTTCCCCATTGCTTCACTTCTATAGTTTGTTTTAACATTTCAGCATTTCAAATAAAATTTGAATAAAAAGTCTTCTTAACTACTACAGCCTTATTTCCTCTTAGTTTAGTTAAATAATCATCACACACAGTATGATTTCTTATATTTATCCATGCTTTATGGAGTTTCCATGTTATGTTTGGCCCAAAATTGAACATGTTGTTTACTGTCTAAGGAATAATTACTATCAAAAATGATGATCCAGAAAGACACTCTGTATAGTTGCAGGCACATACACAAACCATAACGTACTTGGACTGAATGACATACTGGCATGTACTCCATTAAATGTCAGTTAAGTCCTGTCCATATGCAATACAAATCAATTTTTCTGTGCCTAAAATGATGAAGGTGAACTTTAACCTGTAGGTAAAAATTAAGAAATCAAGATTTTTGATTCACCAAGGATGAAGTAAATGTTACAGCTGTGGATCCTTCCAGAGCGCCCGTCTAGTGTTCCTTTTCCTCTTTTGTTCAAAGGAAGGGAGGTCTAACAAAATTGTCTCCCTCCACTGACATCTGCTGCAGTGATGTTATTATATGGGAGGCTTGGTGGCTTCTTTCAGGTAGCTCAGACAATTTTTTATTAAAAAAAATCAGTAAGTAGATATCATGCTGTCACTTTGATTTCTAGAGGGCTTTGGTTCTTAAATTGAGAGCTTCATAGATGGAGATTAGCATGTGGAAGTCAATATACTGTGAATAACATACTACCAATTACATTGCAGTAAGCAACCAAAGCATAAATAACTAGAGCGCGCCAACGTTTAGGGGTCGGGAGCTGTATGTGTTCCTGGGCTCCAGTTGTAAGGGAGAATTACTCTGCATACGGGTGTTTTTTGCCTCTTGTTGAAGCAGTTTATAGATCTAAGCAGGCTCCAAAGATTATATTTACAAAATAAGACTGTAATACTTCTTCAAAACTCTAGACACTGTCAGTTCTACTTTTTGCTTCTGCAACTGTAGTGCTTCAGTTTTATCTGAATTGAGTCTTGTCTCCATCCTAGTGTCATACATGGACCTACATCCTCAGTCACAGCACAATGTATGGAGCTGAGTTACTAGGAAAGCAGTTCTTCAGTAACACTATTAATGGCTTTTTAAGGATGTGATACTTAATTAAGAGCTCCAAACTTTCAAGGAAATTACAATTTGTAATTCTGTAATGCTTTTGGAAATTGGTCATGCTGAAATTTTAATAGGGAGCCCAACGCTATCAACAGTAAGCATTTGTGAGTACTGTACTTTTCATGATACTGATCTGTCCATATTTTTCACTAGACTTTTATTTTTAAAAAAGATAAATGTGTTATTGGAATCATATTAGAAGGCTAACATGGCCTACTAAGCATGTTAACAATATTAAAAGTAAATTATATTAACACAATCTGAGTTCTTAAAACACTCAGACTCTACAATAAGCTGGATATATCAATGGCTAGTACTAGTAGCAATACTGTTGTAATTATTGTATTCCATTTGGCTTATTTGGATGTCCAGTTTTACGTAATTTTCTGTCTTAGCAACTGTGTTACCGAACATGGTTCTCTATCTCGAAATGTTGTTTTAGAGTCACCTTTAGTTCATTTCTTGTGTTTAATGAAAGGCAAACTTTTAAATAAGTATTTCTCCTTAACAACAAAGTAGGTAATCTGGATGTTATATCTTTAGGGATTATTTTGAAGAAGGAAAAAGAAAGAAATTAAAGAAATTCTCCAAATTTTAAGTGTATACCTTTTAACTTTAAAAAAGAAAAGTATCACAAATACTAAATTCAAAAGCGAAATAAAAAAAGCATTAAATAAATTCTGTTTTGCCCAATATCCCATGGAGGATGGGGAATATCTCTGGGAGAAATATTCCTTCTCCAGTGAATTTGAAAACTTGTGGTTTGAATTTCTTTCTCTTATTAATCTAAGCACTGAAAGTGTCAGTACTTGTGTATGATACCAGGAGTGTAGCAGTGCAACACTATTTTTCTGTGATTTGCTTCTTAAATTCCCCCATTGCTATTAATGATCTTTCTCCTTTTTGGATATACATCTCCTTTCTTGCTTTCCTCCCACTCCACTTCATTGGTTCTTTTTGACTCTTAAGCTCCAAAACATAGTATTCTGGTACATATCAAAGTTATATTTTTTTTGTTTTCCTTCTTTAGTATTTTTTACAAGTTCGATATGAATGACAACTTTCTTATTTTCAGCCTTTTTTATTGTTTTTTCTTTTAATATTTTCATATGTGATTCATAATAGGGAGGAAATTGTTTCCAAGTCACACAAAGAATGGATTAAGAGTTTTGTTGATTCTGTATAAAGAAAAACTCTCTCTCTGTATTTTTCTGCCACAACATCCCTGTGTATTATCTTCCAGCAGACAGATTAACAGATGAAAAAGTAAAACCTTACATTGTTGCGTTTACTTTTCTCCCAAACAAAATATTTCCGGTATCTTTCTAAATAAATGTCAGAAGTATGTCGCTCCAAAGGGCATGATCTAAAATTTTACTGGGCAATTAATTGGGTAGTTACACTGTTAGGAATGTTTTTTGCTAGCATTAACATTGCTATTGTTTATATTTCCTAAAAATAAAGAAAATCAGAGATGGTTCAAATTTCTGTTGTTATTTACTGATTCACTTCCCCCATAGATTTGAGTTATGATAAGTTTTAATTAGATGAAGCTTATTAAGACTTTCTAATTGTGGTAATTTCTGATATTTAACTTGAAACAAAGAAGCTGAAGGAAATATTAGCCTTTCTGAAGTCAGTGGGAGTTTGTATTTTTCTTTCAGTAGGCTAGTATTCACAATGTCTGTTAACAAGTATTGTCTCACTTCTTAAACTGTAAGTTCATGTGTCATCTGAATGTGTTTGTGATTTTGCTCTGGTTAGCTTTCAAAAATGGTGTTGCAAATTGTGTTTTCAGTATATCCATTCGTTTTGCCTATTTTTGTAGTTCTCACAGTTTTGAAAGAAATGCAGATGTAAGAATGTCTCTATAAGAAATGATACCTTTATATAGCTTTAGCATGCCAAATATGATTAAATTTTGAAAAGTATCAATCAATAGATATTTTAAGCAAGTTGATTAATATCTTAAGCATTAAGAATATAAATATTAACACAGTTCTCCCAAATGAATAAAATCTCTTCCCATTAAACCATGATTTCGGTAATCTTAGTTGATACTTACAGGAAACCATGTTAGGAAGACAGCACTACTGCTGTATGCCATCCGTATCTTGGAATCAAATACATGATTGAGAACTATTTCTCTGGCTTGAAAAATTAGGAATACAATATTATCAAGTATTATTTTTAAAGGTTTGCAATCATATTTTACCTATTATTTCTGTTGTACATTGTATACTCTAGGAGGTAGACCAAAAGAGGGCCTTTATAGTGTTGTGAAAATACAGGTAAGTGATTGATCTAACAAAAAAGAAAACATTCCAACCATTCTTGTTTTCACAGAGGAAGATAAATATGGTCTTTACTCCAATTTGTTGTTCAAGTATTTTCTCGCAGAGGGAGTTGTCTGTGGACATGACCTGTTTGTTGCTTCTGCTAAAGAGCATCCTGACAACATCTTAAAGGTAAAGAAGACCCATAGCTTTTGACAAGTAAAGCTGTAATCTCTTGATGAATTTAAATACATTTTAAACTGTGTATATATTGTGTAGTAAGAAATTAATTAATCTTGGTGATTCATAAGAACGTGTTGGGAAGTGCAGGAGTATTTACACTAGCAAGATTCAGGAATTAAATTTAGCTTGCTAGCCTCAGTTTACAGGCAATGGAGTAAGATCCTCCCAAGGCCAAATCAGGCTAGGAGCCTACTTGTCTTTTATTTTGATTATGAATGAAAACCAGGCAGACTAGCTGGTTTAGTTGAATGGTTTGAGTAAACCCAACTGTTTACAGTTTCCACCTGCCTATCAGGAAGAGCAGTTAAGCTGCTTGCAATATATTGTGGTGGAAACAGTGAACAATTTGTATAGATATTTAATGTAGTTTCCTATAGAAAGAAAAGTATCATTTAACATCTTTACAACTTCCTTTAGACGTACTTTTCATTCTCACTGTCTTTTTTCTACTAGGAAACATGGTCAGTTTTGTATCAGGTCATACAGAAAGGTTTCTTTCAGACTTCAGTGAGCTCCTAATCAAAACTGTTTCCATTATAAGGAAATTTTATAAGGGAAAAAGCCTGATCAACACTGCAAAAAATGCTGAAGTGTGAGGATAATCTTACAAAATTTCATTAAATATTTTATGTCTTTCTAAGGCTGCTTTTTTCTAATATCAAAAGTAACATATAATTTACTGATTACTTCTGCATCAAGTGAAGCCTGGCTATTTTCTTAAGAGTTTTCAGACTGTTTCCGGACAAAATGATTACTTTTCTTTTTTCCTACCTAGTGATGGTAGATTCTATGCCTTATCTATTCAATATTATCTTCAGTATTCAGGAAAAAGTATATTCTTAATGAAATGATATGGTTGTGGTTATGAAAGATCTAATAACTTTTTTTTATGATCTTGAACCTAGAGAGGGTTCATTTAGGGGTGAAATTTTTATCATTTGTTCTTGTGGTTTAGAATATAGCCTAAACAAATAGGTTAGAATTTAGTTGTGAAGTATGAATTACGTAAGAACGTGCTACATTTTTTAATAATTTTGTTATTAAATAACTGATAATCAAGTCATTGACTCTCTGATCATACAATACATGATCCTTGCAGTTGTTTTTCTCATCAAAATTAAATTATTCAAATGAATGTTTTTATTGCATTGCATTAGAATTTCTTAAAATGGAGTAGCTAACATACATTTCATTCTTTCATTCACTTTTGAATCAATTGTTCATAGCATGTCATATTTTTCCTAGTTCCTGTTCTTTATGCTTTTTGCAAATTAATGAACAGACATTGTTGCATACGTCTATCCTTCTTGTACCAGTTTGAGTTTGTGGTGAGTTAGTTTGATATGACTTATTGAGCTCTGTTGTCTGATTTGGAATAAATTTTCCTTCTTGTGTTTCAGGGGTAGACAATAGGTAATAATACTGCATTCCTCTGTTGTAACTACGTAGTGGTGTTACTATAAGAGATTACAAATGGATGTACAATATTACTACAGGAAAGATGAGGAAAACATAATTTTCTCTTGTTTTCTTCCTCTGTGTGTTTATATATCCAACAGTACTCCTGTCTGTGCTTTTCTACTCTTACCTTGACTATTCAACACTTCCTTTGCTTAACAGACAAGGCACAGTGGAGTTGATTCCTCTGACTTGTATTGCTGTCTTGAAATTGCTTCAGTGAAGTAACCCTGTAATATGCTAGACATCACTCTAGAAAATGGCGTACTTTCGCACTTGGAAAGCTTAGGAACTTCTTGAAATGCCAGTATGCGTTACCTAAAAAACATTATTGCCTCACCTGGAAAAAGTCAATCTAAGACTGGCGTTGGCCACAGTTAGGTCTCCAAATCACAGAGATAGAAGAGTTTTCCCTACGACTATCTCACTTGACTTTTAAAAGAGTGGGCTTCCAGGTGCTTCAAAAAGTCCTCTCCTGTCATAAAAATGAGCTGTTTGGGATTTGGATGTCTCCACCAAGTCAGGATTTTAATATAACATATCTGACTGTTGAATAACATTGCATTTTATTTAATGACATTAGTAATTTATTATCCGTATCTGATTGGACTGTATTCTTTACTGGAAAGGCAACATAGATTTCATATGATCAACCTGAATTATATGTTTTATGATTGTTTTTTGTTTTATAAAATCCAGCTATGTATTCAATATATTCTATGGCTAGTATTCTGATTAACTGGTACTTTACATAAAGGCAGTTTCTTAACTGCCTTATGTCCATATTGTGTGGTCAGTCTATTTATACATTCAGTTCTCTGCTGAGATGCCATAATTGCCCTATTCTAATTTTATGATGTGATTGGAAGCTTCTTGAACCTATAACCAAGACAAATATTGCTGGTAGTAGGAAGGGGAAAAGACATTCTTATAGACCATAATTATCTTGAAATTGTGTATAACTAAAAGACAAGCAGAGGATAAAAAGCCCTGATCAGCTGCCTAAGATATATTATATTACCACCCACCAATTTATCCATCATCCTTTGAAAACATATTCATGCCTTTTGTAGTCAAAGCTCCTTCAGGAAATGGCATTAAGACGTAATGCTGAAAAATTATACACCTCTGGTAAAACCTACAGAACTACATACATGCTGTTTTTTAGAAAGTATTTTAAGCATTTGAGAGCTTTTCCGTTCAATCTGTATTCTTCAACAAAAGGCAACTTTTTACTATAAGGACATAAGAACTGGGAATAGTGTATGATATAAGAAACAGTATGGTATACTTCTGTGATTGATCATAAAATAAAACTGATTGCATTGGTAAAACTAACTTAATAATAAAATGACTGAAGGAAACATTATATCTTAACACTCCATTTTCAGTACCATACCTTATTAAGTTTTGCCTATAAATTATGAAAGGCTGTTACGTGCCCAAGCTTAAAAACAAAGAGAAACTAATAAAATTGATGGGTTTTTTCTTGCATCTATTTCCTTCACTTCACTGTGTTTAGTGGCTATATTTTTTTTATAATTCAGCACTCTAATGCCAGCTATTTTGAAGTTGCATACAGTGTATGTGTTTGAGAATGGAACATACAAATTTGAGTATATGGTTATATTTATTACAGAGGAAATCTTAACTTAAACACTGTTATGCTTTTTGTAAGAAACAGCAAGCAAGGGGTTTGAATATTTCCTTGAACGTGTAGCCAAAATTGAACAGGCTTGCATCCACTCCATGTTAGGCTGGGTACCAAACTGACATCTGGAAGCCATAAAAATAGAGTAACTATATAACACCTGAGTTTTTTACACCCATTCTCCTTGTTAGTGACAAGATATGGTTCCAGTTTAAAAAAAAAAAAAAAATCTGTATCTGTGGTGGCTACATTTCTATATTTCTCACTGTTCTACTTCAGATTTGGCACTAAAATTCTAGAACTGCCTAAACTGCTTATATAAGAATTTCTTTGCCTTTTTTCCTGAGTAGTTATTTTATCTACACCTTGGGGGGAACTGATTCTCACAAGTTTTAGTGAGAAAAAATTGGATTATATTTGCCAGTTATGAGCTCATCTTGACAATAAAGAGTGCTCTCTGTTAAGTTGCTTTTACTGTGGAGCCTGTGCAAAGCTTGGCTGAAGAGGAGGACTTACTGGTCATCGTACGTGCTGGGAAACAGAAACCAGCATCCCCTGAAGCCCAATTTCCCTGTGGGATCCTGGCCAATGTTTCCTCAATGACCATTGCTTTGGGAACCTGGAAGCCTGACGTGGAAGAGTGGGAGGTCCAGAACTGCTTTCTAGAGCTGCATCTGTTCGTCTCCTCTGGAAAAGTTGAACAGTTTGTGTGCTTATTGCATTTTTATGGAATATCTGTTTTCAAGCTGCAGTTTTATTACAGGATACTTCTGGACTCTGTTGAGGTTGCCTTTTGGTGGTTCACTTACAAGAAGAGAGGATAAAGAGCACATCCTTCAAAAGTTACTTTGACATAGTCTATGAGCCTGCTGCTTATGGTGGGGATGCTTTTCTTACCTCTGCTATAGAGGATAGCTGCCTTAGAAGGAAATGAATTCCCCAAAATTCTGCCCCCAATTAAGTCCTTTGAGGCTTACCATACTAAGGCATGAAGTGGTATTTAGCTTGTACATCTGGTGTCATTGTACTTCCAGGTCTGAAAATGAACAATGTGCAAACAGTTTGCTCTCTGGAGAACTACACAGAAGATTCCCTTGAGTACTAAAGCCCTTCATGTGCCCATGTATCAGATAGACAGCTTCACTGCGTTTGTTGGACATATCCTGAAGTCAAGTCAGTCAGGAGAAACCATGCTAGTGGTCTAGGAAACCAGTGAAGGTCACTTGGTGAGGAAGCTGGGAGGTGCATGTAGAGAAGAGTAATGGTTTATTAAAAAACAATAGGAACAAGATTAAAAAAAACCTGCAGGAACAAGTTTTTAAAAATTCCTACCAAGCTGAAAAGATCTCTAAAACAACCGTGAAAGTATATTTTAAATATGGCATTGTGCTTAAGTATGTCGTTTGGAAGAGACTGAAAAAATTCCACGTCCAACAAGCTGGTTATACTGAGCAGACCTGAAGAACAGAAAGTGCACACTTAACTCTTTTCCTACTGAAAAGATGAATGCAGAAGGAATCGAGCAAAATGTACTTTTGTTATTTCAAGGGTTATTTAAAAAACAACAATAAACAACCCACTGAGCTTCAGTGTTATTTCACTGTGTATGCAAACAACCTCTTGAAAGAAAGCATAGCTGTCTACATGGAATTTTTTATTCCAGCAAAGTACGTTCAACCATGATGCTTACATTTTTCCCTCATATCTATGACTCTAAAACATTGTTTTCTCAAAAGGAAGAATGCAAACCCAGAAGAAATGATCAGGGTGCTGGCCAGGGCTTTCCAAGCTTCCATTTTCAAAGAGTGTTATTCTAACTCCTTCCTGTCTCTTTGCTGTC